CACTTCAATTGTGGACTTAACTTTAAGATAGTCTTTGTACATAATTAATTATATATATCGGCGCACATGGCAAATTAAATAATTTCTCAACAACATGTCCATACTCTTATCCTTGTTATTGCACCCCAAGGAAAAAAAAAAAAAATCTTAAATTATTAATATGCATATCGGCAGAAAGGCAGAAAAGAAAGAAAAGTGTGAAGAAAATTCAAGAGGGGTGAACAATTTGGCATAGTTGAAGGGTTGAAAATTAAAATTCAAAGTCGAGAAGGAAAAAATAAACAGGAAGTACTGGCCCACGCTACTTATCAATCGGGTTCGGTTTCTTTATCACTAGTCAGTGCAGTCACTTTTTTACTTTTCAATTCAAAGAATTGTTCCAAAAAACTATTCGAAGGGTGAAAATCTTGGGGGTGTTTTATAAAGCAAAAGGAAAATTAATTAAAATATTGCTTATTCCGATTATTGCATGCATAGTAAAAAGAGAACATTTGATTAATTCATAATATAATTAACAAACCAAAAGTGGTAAAAATTGTGATAGACAATAATTATACATCAACGGGGTTAGCAGTATACTGTATACCTCTGTTTGTTAATTATTAATATTCAGATTTTAATTTAAGTTAAGATCAACTATTAATTTTAATTACATATTTTATAGGATCCATAACTTATTTTACCGCACATTTTATTATTATTTTTAATCAAAATCTAAAAAAACTAATTTTAATCCCCGGGAGCATATAAACACAACAAATTTATAATGAAATTGATTTAAAATTACGTCATGAAACTATGTTAAATTGAAAACTGAGGATATGTTTGTTTTTTATTCTCAAATTCTACAGTATATCAATTCTCATTTTCAACTACACATTTTTCAATAAAATAATATTTTTCATCACATCAATAATTTTTTTTTCTTTTTCAACCACACATTTTCCCATCATATCACTATTCAAAAAATCAATTCTTCCCCCAAAAATTCCTACCAAACAAGCACTTAAAATTATTAGAAGACAAATCCCTAAAAACTCAATATGCCCACAATTATTGGGAAAAGAATAAAAACAACAATGAAATAAATGAAAATAAGACTCTCTCTTGACTCGATTGTCAAGCACTCGACAATATAAAAATGTCTAAGCTTTTTTTCATTTCCGTAGCGAAGCATGTTGGACGGCCTCATAAGCAAGCTATCCCCTTCAAGAATTATTAAAACTAGCAAATTCCGGATGCCAAGAGCCTTGGCCAACGCTATCTCCTTCATCAGTACCATAAATTCGTCCCAATCAATCGTGATACTCTTAGTATACTTGTTTTTGATCTCTTTTTTTGCTTGTAATTTGAATTTCTTTGAGGAAAGTTTCCCGAATCTCTTCTGGAGTTCATTGCGTGAAAGCACGCCATTATAGTCTGCATCGAGCATGTCGAACTGCTTGTTTAACCATTTGTCGAATACTTTGACATCGTTTACAAATTGTAAGATTGTTGGAACATCAACAAAAACTACACTCATTCTCAATTTCAATGATGAAATTATTAATTAATTTCATTAAACTCCTCCACCTATCATAGGGGCCAGCTGGCCCCTTGATCAGTACAGGGAGCTCGTACATATATCTTTTTTGCAAATTTGCTTGTGGTAACGCACTTTTTAAGGAAAACGCTTTCAATGCTTGATGGGTAAGTTGGACTGCTATTTTTCCACCTGAACATTGACAATATGATAAGGGGTAGAAATGGGAGAACAATAATATTTCATATCAATTTAAATATAAAAATATTAACTAATATATAAAGTTTGAACTGCTTTCTTGTTAATAAAGTTAGGGTGTGTCTGGGCGGACTACAAATTTTAATTCGGACCATTGGTAATTAGAAAGTGGACCGTTCGGGCATTTTTTTGGAGACAAAATCTGACACCTTTGTAGTACTTATACAGCCCATTTGCACGACTTTTCCGATTTTACCCCTTTACAGTAGAGAATCTTCATAAAGTGCACATGTGATGAGGATGAAATGATATTTTTCTCTTCAAATTGCCTACAATAAGTTAATAGAAGAATAAAGTGGGATCGCCGATATGACCCAAAAACTGATTTTAGAGCTGGGGTAATTTCTTCCAGACACAGCCTTAATATTTCACTATAAAAATCATCTCTTACTTTTTAATTATACAACTTTTACAAAATATATCCTCAAAAAATCTCAAGGCGGTACACATCTTCCTAGAAAGAGGTCAAGTTCCTCTTTTATTGAAAATCTATATATGACATCTTTTCATTTCTATTATTTGTTTTTTCAATAATCAAAAGCTAGAGTTTCAAAATGAATTTATCGAGTCTTACTGCCAACCAAGATCAAAGGAAAAGATCCCAATCCTCCCCTTGCTTTTTTTTTTTTTTTCATAGCTCAAGTATCCAAGTTTCGCTCGATTGATCTTCAGAAGTGGCGGGCTTTCCCTTGGTTCGCCAACCATTTAAATCAGATGCAGTCACATTTTATATACATTTGGACCGAACATTCAGGAAGCGGTTCTTCTCGTTGTGGACCTCTTTTACAACGTGCGGATGGGACTTTCGGAGGGCCGACGAGTGCACCATGACTTTGCCTCCACAAGACATTTGTTTTCCAATATAAATATTGTCTTCCAGCAGTCACAAAAATTCAAGCATATGATGTTTCGTAAAAACAATCATCTTCTTTTACCACTACGTCATGCCCATAGAGACCTCCCCTTGCTTTCTTACTATCTAGTAGAGCTTTTAATGACCAATGAACTTTTATAGAGAAATCAATCTAAACCAAGCTAGGAGAAGCGCTTTCATGCTCGTTCGCTTAGCAAATTCCTAATTAGTCTTCTCCCAAGTTAGCAAGAAGGAAGAAGTAAAGAATAGACAGTCATGCTATACTTGCACTTTTGTTGACACTGTGATTTGGCGGGCAATCTGATCATTTATTTAAATAAAAATTATTCAAATCAATGATCAATTTTTTTACACATAACACAATGTCAACAAAGATGTACAATTTGAATTTACAAATAGCTTAATTGAACAGTAGAAGTTGCATTAGTTCTAAGCTTTTCCTTGGACGGGTAGACCCGCCATACTAATCAACGTATAATGGTTTGGGGGGTTAAATACCTCAATTGTATTAAACTTTCCTAATTGTTTCTCCAATATAAATGAGAAGTTCCTCCAGTTGCTACTAAAATTCCTAAAAAATTATTTAATTTACCATTCTATTACTCTGCCATTTTAAAAATTAATGGATTTGATGAACTTACAAAATATTATCATTTTCGTCATTTTGTTTAATATGTTATCTAATTCGTTAACTTTGAAAACGACGAGCAGTGGAAGAGATAACATTTTGATAAATTTAGTAACAAATAAAAGAACTTTTAAGATTTAACCCCTATTTGAGTCACATTTTTTTTTTCATTCTCGTTCTTCTACTCATTTTCAAACACACATTCTTCAATAAAATAACAAAATGTCGAAAATAGAAAACCCGAACCATTCTAATCGAATTTATTTACATTTAAAAATGGAAAGAAAGAAAATCCCTTCTAAGTTCTATCTTCTCGTGGATTTATTTCCACTTAAAAAGGGGGAAAGATGGGAAGTTTCTTTGTATACTAGAAACTGGGTCCACCTATGGGAAAAAGTGTAAATTCCTTTGGAGTCCCCAACCTTTTATAATTGTGACAGTCATGTTCCGAACTTTCTATTCTTAACAATCTCGTCTCCAAACTTTTAATATAGTGTGCAGTTTCTATACTTGATGAAAGACGTCTATTAAGGCAATAAGTTTTTAGGAAACACACAACGTATTGCCAGATTGAAAGAGTAAAATTGTACAAAATTTTATTCCAAAAATCACATATTGATAGTCGAATTACATTATGCCCTTGTTTGAGCCCAATTTTTTCAAAATTCATTTTTAATCATACATTTTCCAACAAAATAATTTTAAACGTAAATTCAAAAAAAAATTCTGTTTTTCAATCACATATTCTTCAACACATTAATATTTCAAAATCTATTAACTCAAAAAATGGATAAATGTTGCCCTCTTTTGAAAAATTATAATCATTCAATTAGATGTCACATACGTTTTATGTGAACAATTGAGTCAATAAAATTTTCTATCAAGTGAGAGTACTGTGCGCATAGTATTAAGTGTGTGTTTGGTAGGGATTTTTTGGGGAAAGAATTGATTTTGAATAGTGATATGATGGGAAATGTGTGGTTGAAAAAGAAGATAAGATTATTGATGTTATAGAAAATATTATTTTATTGAAGAATGTGTGGTTGAAAATGAGAATTGATTTACTGTTGAAAATGAGAATTGGTACCAAACATAACCTAAGTGCTTGTCGGGGCGGATTCTATTCAGATTTTTAGCATAAATTAAAATGCTATACACAGTAAGTGGGTCCCACTCAAATAATGCAACCATCTTTTTTGAATGTGAAATCCCAGAAATTCTTGATTTGATGAGAATTTAAAAACAAATAAAGTGGCATATAAGTCTTTTCATCAGTCCAATTTAACTATTTGGTAATTTTTGAGTCAAAAATTGCTACTACAGTAGGACCCACATAATTGTAACAATAGTCTAATTTCTAATTAAAATCTTTTGATAATTGTTGCTAGAAAGGGGCTAAAAGGTTAAGGATATGGTTGTTATTAATTGAAGATTGTAGATACGAATACCACACTCATAAAAGGTTGAGGGCTTCTGAAGGAAATAAAAAACCAATGTTTACGTCATCACGTGACAGAAGGTTGGTGACATCACACTGTTTTGTCAAATAAGGGTGCCGAGAATTTCTGTTTCCTTTCCTGCAATCTTCCTCCAACTTTCCTTTGCTTTTCTCTTATCCTTATTTCTCTTATCTTAATATATAAAAGAGGAAACCCTTGTACCTCATAATCAGATCTCACAAATTTACACGCACAACACACAGTGAGCGAGTAGAAAAGATGAGGATTTTGACTGAAACCCTACTTACAAAAAGGAGAATATTGATAGAAGAGTTAGTGAAAGGTAAAGAACTTGCAGCCCAGCTTCAAACCCTACTTAATAAGCCACTGAGAAATAATGGGTCTGTCTCTTCTGAGGAATTGGCTTCGAAAATCTTGAGATCTTTCACTGAGACCCTTTCTGTGTTAAGTTCAAATGAAACATCCCAGATCAACTGTGGCGACGGCGAGGGCAGGGCTAGTGGCGCCTCAGCCTATTCCGGGGATAGTCACCAGAAGAAGCCGGCAAGGTTGAAGGATCGAAGGGGTTGTTACAAGAGAAGGTGATTATTATTTTTTTTTTTAATTTATTATTTTTCCATTGAATTTCTCTTAGAATATATTTAAAGACAAATTAATACCCTCATCATTGGGGTTCATATATGTGGCCCTCAAAATTTAAATATTTTAGTTTCCTTTTTTATAATTTTCTTCAGTCACTTGACATCAAAGAATATTTAACTAGGGAGATTAAATATTCAGTGGCAGGTTGTAATTCTATTTATTTTTATGAATTTGGAGGAGTTTGCTGTGTGGGTTAGATTGGATTAATGCCACTAGTTAATGTACATTTAGTATTTTCCATGTACGGAAAATGCAAATTTTCATGTAAATTAATATATTTATTTTTATATGTGAAAAAAATCCAATTTATTTATATTTATTTTTAATTTGATTTTGCAGAAGGACCTCAGATTCGACGAAAACAGTTTCTCCTACAATTGATGATGGTTATGCATGGAGGAAATATGGACAGAAAAATATTCTAAATTCAGAATATCCAAGGTGAATATATATATATTCTATGTATTTCATATTTATTTTTCTTAATTTTATTAAATAATTAAGTCAACAGTTTCTAATTATTGGTGATATTAAGTTCAAGAAACAAATCATTTGGATAGATTTTTGATATACAAATGAATGAAATTACAAAAAAATAATATTAATTAGCATAAATCGAATCGAATCAAGAATTGTTGTTTAAAGTAATCGAAAATATATTTCATAGATATTCATATTTCAAGTCAAAATTACTAATAATTGCAATATACTATACGATTAAGAATTATTTTGCAAGTAGTATGCGGCTCGATTTGACTCGACTCAACTGTTTCTACTTTATGCTACAGAGTCTTGTGTAAGTACTAAATTTATGTTCTTTGTGTTGACAGATGCTATTATAGATGCACTCACAAGTATGAAGGCTGCAAGGCAACAAAACAAGTGGAAAGAATCAAGGAAGATCCCATTTTGTATCAAACTACATACTTTGAGCATCATACATGCACTAATGAAGTGAGGGCTCCACATATCATTGTAGATTCAGCTCCTGTGGAATCCCTTAATTTTGTCAGTTTTGAATCAAAAATCACATTGAATCAGGACCATCCATCCTACTCCATGATCAAGACTTCTTCAGCCAAAGAAGAACCTAAACAAGACACACAAAGTGACATGTCTGATGTGAAATCATCACTTGAGGATTCTAATTTGTGGCAGAAAATAGTACCAGTGGAGCAAAAATCGTCTGAATATGTGTCCCTATGGGATCCGAAAACAAGATCTTATGATCATGATCTTGATCAAGAAGTGGCTTCTAGTTTCTATTCATGCACATCAAATAGTATGCATAAGCTAGATATGGAAGGTATATATCAGTTTGCCGATATAGAAAACATTCATTTTGACTAGTTAATTTCCTTTATTAGCTTCTAAATATGTTTTTCACTGTCATTTATGTACTGTACTTCATCTGATTTGGATTGTTAATAAACATATAATTTTCTGCCTTAGTTTTAAAGTTCCGTTTCTTTTATGCACTGTTAATCGGCACTCGACTAGTCTAGTATCATTTGAAGAATATAGAATTGTTCATGTGGTCGCACATAAGATGTCTCATTTCAATCGTGAACGTGAACATGAACATGAACATGGTCGCCAAGTTAAAAAAAACAATATGCAAATAATTCGATATAGATATAATATTGCCAGAAATTACTTGGGTTTATGTTTTTATAGAAAATAAAAAGTGGACTACGTGTTCAAACCCTAGAGAACTAATAGTATTCTATGATTTGTTTTGATAGAAAATGGGAAAAGACACAGAGTGTGTAAATGTTTCCATTTAGTACTCTTTTTGCTTTTTAATTTTCTTGAGGACAGGGGAAAGGAATACAGATAGTGAAAACGTTTTTTACTTATATTTAAAGGAACTTATGAGAGGTGGAAAATAAATATAATAAGTGAAATTATCGCTTACGAGAAATAATAATTAAATACACGCCTAGTTGCACACTACTATTCAAAAATAATTAAATTCCACTATTGAGGAAAAAAAAAATTGATGTTTAAATTTGCGGCAGTCATACATTATTCTAGTTAATATTTTGAACTGACCATGAGCAACTAGATGTTCATTTGTAATTGAATATTTCAACGTGTAATCTCGCAAATCTTAAATTGCAAGTAGATAATAAAATACCACACATGTAGTGAGCCGCACACAAATAAACTTAGGGTCCGTTTGATTGTAAAAGTGGAATTTGGGTGAAAAGAAAATAAATTACAGGGAATTGAATTGTCTAGAATTATTTTCTTGAGAATTGTCAATTAATTGTGCTTGATTGGTATAATTTTTCATCTGAAAAATATTAAAATTTTGGATCTTTTGGTGTTCGTTTGACTTTGTTTTCTAGTATTTCAAACAATAAATTCAATTATTACAACACACAAATTGTGTAGATCAATATGCACTTTAAGTTAAACTCAAAGCTTTATTATATATAGTAAAGAACATTACATATGGTTTGTTTGGTAAAACTTCTACTTTTGCTTCTACTTCTTATAGAAGAGCTTCAAAAGAAAACGACTTTAGGTTAGTTATCTCTAAAATATCTTCTAACCAAACAAATCACTTTAAAAAAATTATTTAAATATGTTCAAAAGTAATTTCTTAGTGTCATAAACTTTTAAATGCTGAGATTATAATCTATCCAAAAAATGTGGTGCATAAATTCTTGTAGAATGTATGAATATGGTACATAAGTGTACCCATAGGCGCCTAGGGTGGACACCCCTATGGGTACACTTTACCCATAGCATTTTCCGAGCTACTTATAGGTGCTTTAGACATTCTAGAAATTTATCCCATTGTCTTCCACCACGACCCACAGTCCAGATAAATAGTAATGTCCACTAACATGTATAATGATGCTCCATAATATCCCTTAAGATTTAACACAATAATTCTCAAGAACTCATACATCCATTTTCTTCTATTAATAGAAAGGTTTATTTTATGCAACCTTTCATGAATAAATGAAATTTAATATTAAAATGTAATAAAACCTTGTTAGAATCGTCCTCCCATATGTATTGTACTGATTAAAATATGTCAGTTAACAACTTTATATTGTATAATTACACATTTTATTATAGAACGGTGGGGGGCCCTCAAGGTTGAGGTTCATTTAAACGGTAATACATTATTGTATACAACATTGCAAAATATTTGTTGTTGCCACCATGGTAATATTTGTTGTTGCCAACTACGTACAATTGTGAAGCCAAAAGACATTTATCAATCGAATATCAGTTGTCTATGCTTTGTGAGTGTGTTTAAAGGTATTTTTATATTTAATAAGATTTTACGATTGAAAAAAAGTAGTACAATAAAAGTCTCAATTTTTTAATAGATTTTAACATAAAATACAATGCTAAACTATAGTAAAGATAATGACGAATACAATATCAAATTATAATTCTATGACGTAGTATGATACAATCTGTCTCGAATCACTTTAGTAGATCCAGAACGTGATGTGCGCTAATTATGAATGTAAGCTAGATATCGAATCCATCACCAAGACTAATTTTGGCTTTCCTTTGACTATAATTTCTTTGACCAAAAAGAATAAATAAATTGACATAGTTTTTCCAATAATGTTGTGAAAGCTGTAAATCAACATAATATCCGTACAACCACATACCAAATATATTGAAAATCACGTCCCTCCAACATATACCAAACAAAGTGATATATACTACAACGAAATATTAACTAACTCCCTTTACCGTAAAACCCTAAACAATCCAATATGTAGCTCCGATCTCCTCGTCACCTCCAAAATTTAAAACATTTAATTTACTCTTTTCTAGCTATTTTCAATTTTGCAAAACACTGAAAATGTGTTTGTTTTGGTATTTTCTGAAAATACATTTTCAAAAACAAGGATAAATTTATAACGTAAAACTGAAAACGTACTTTTGACATTTTAAGTGTTTTATTGAAAATTTTGAGAACACTCGAAATATGGAAAACAAATGTCTAAATAAAAGTTTATTTATGTTAAAATTTAAATACTAAAAATATTAAAAAATAAAATATAAAATTCTAACAAATAGAATTTTAAACATACAAATCAAGAAAAATAAATTCTAAAAAAATGAAACTATAAAAACTTCTAGAAAAATAAAATAATAATAAAAAAATAAAAAGTAAAAATAGTTCAAGTTCTTAATGAATATTTACATAAAAATTCTAAAAAATATTTAAGTGCACTGATAAAAATATCCTTAATTCATATCATTTATTTTTATTTTTACATTTTGAACTTAACTTATTATTTTTTCAGTTTAATCTTGTAGGTCGTAGCGAGAAAAAAATATTGTAAAATTTACCACTTTATAATGTATATATTACATGATAATATATATAAGCATAAAATTGTTCTATTTTTATTGTATAATCAAATTTCACGGAATAAAATGTTAAAAATTAATTTTTCAAAATTTCAAACCAAACGTGTCTTCTAATGTTTTGTTTTAAGAAATAATTTTTCAAAATGACAAATCAAATACATTTTTAGTAATCTTAAAACAGAATACTCAAAATTGAAACACAAACCAAACAGGATCAACAAAACTCAAATCGATCGACTACTTAAATCCAAACTAATTTCTCTTTCCTTTACCCACTTCCTTTAAAACTCCAATGGCTGCCCCTCTTTGAATTTCAACAAGAAAAGCTTTATACTAGTCAATGCATTCTTCATTTTACTTGTTATCTAAGAATTAAATATATTTATAAAATCCCATTTTTCAATAGCTTCAAAATTTGCCAACGCGTAATTAAATAGACATATGGGTAGACTAATCTTTAATAATATTTCAAATTTTTACCATGTAACAGACCAACGTTAGGTTTAATTTTGAATTTAATCAACTACCCCCAAGAACCATATAAATTCAACAATTGAATAAATTTCGAATTTAAGCTAATTATAATCCATTCTCCCTACATTACCGACAACCTGGATATTGTCACTGTTACTTTTGTCTATATACATATGTATTTAATCATCAGACTACTTTGATAGATAACAACATTAAAACTGAAATCGTATTTACATTTTTTGTCTCGTTTTTGTACCCGTATTCGACGACAGAGATATAGTATTAACGACAGAGGGGAGAATTCTCCGAGCAGAGAGGTACCCAAAAAAAATAAAATAAAATTATATAAAAATGTTATAGCTATAAATGAAACACATCTAAAAATAATAATGAAGTACAACATATGCGCAGTAAAATAAAAACAGTTCATAACAAATGAAGGACTCAGTATTTTGTTAAAAAATTGACCATCAGCCATAAAAAAATCTGTGAAGTAGTTAGGAGTTTTTTAGCAGCAATTGGCCACTGCAGCTCTAATCCCAATTTGTTGGTTCATTACAAAAAGGTACAACTCAATTATTAGTGTTTCTTTTCTCTAGCAGTATCCCAATTCTCATCAATGGATGAGAAGATGAGCTCCATGCTATTGTTGCTGCTGCTACCAGAATTAAACATAGCATCAGCAAACTCCGCCACCGGCTGGTAGTCCGGAAATCGAGGGCCGGACGGTCCTGCACTGCCACTGCCACCGGCCGCGAGATTGCCGCAACTACTAGGCCTGGCACCACCCATTGTACCTGGATACCGAAACGCTAGAGTATCGAATATGGTGGGTGTAGCTTCCACTACTGGCGATGGCTTGACTTCAATTGACAACCACTGGCTTACAGGTGGCTGCATACCGGTGGTTTGTGGAATTGTCCCGTGTTCAACGGATGGTGGTATGGTGGCAGATGGTGCGGTGGAGGTGATGTTGCACATGTGGTTACCTCGATATGTCACCTCGAACGTGTAGAAATCTTCGTCGAGCCGCTGGACTTGCTTCTTGGCCGGGCATTGGTAAAATTTTTGGTGGGTGCATCTGTAGTAGCTCCTGAAATTTGAGGACGAAAATTGAAAATGGCCAAATGATTGCTCAAATTCGTTTCTTCAAGATGAATTTCAACAAATGATTAGTACGAAATATCAAATGAAGAAACCACCAAGACTCGTTCATTGGCCCATTTGTCACCTTGTATATTCCATGTGGTACCATTTTAATTTTTCATTGACTAGGTCACGTAGCAAAGAAAGACAACTACAACGACTGGTAGCATGCCAGGGAATCGGATAGGGACTGTAATTCTTTTTATTGGTCGAAGGTATAACGAAAGATAGAGAGGTTTGACCCAAAAACGCGTTCGATCCTTAACATTTTAATCCTATTTGAGCCCCATTTTCTAAAATCTCATTTTCTCCTTTTTCATTTCCAGTCACACATTCTATCAATAAATAATTTTACACGTAAACTCAAAACTTTTTTTTTATAAATTTTTTAATCACACATTCTCCGATAAATCACTATTTATAAAATTTATTCTAAAAAATATCTACTGAACATGGATTTAAAAAGATACTCTGCATTNAAAAAAAAAAAAAAAGGTTCAAACAGATATCATTTGAATTTCTCATGTAATTTGATCCATTAGAATGCAATGATAACTGAATTCATTAGAAGAACATTGATTAAGTATAAAAATACTAACTAAACATAAGGTTTTGGATAATTCTCTTAATAAAGTTGATATTTTAAAAATTAAACTCCAAGTATTAATATAATATCAAATCTCATTAAGTTCGAAAGAACAATTTGATCCATCTAACGCTTAAACTAGCATTCGGATGTTAATTGTTGGTGTGATCAAACGAACCAACTTCTTACATAGACATAATAAGGGTAGAAATTTCATATCAATTGAATATAAAAATACTAATTGATGTATAAGAAATTGTGTTACTCTTCTTAATAATGTTAACTTTTTTAGACGTAACATAAATCTTAATAATGAAGAATCAAATATTAACTGTAAGTATACCTTGGATGTTTATATCCCAGAATCTCTTTCTGACCATATTTTCTCCAAGTAAAACCATCTTCTGGTGGAAGATCAAGATTTCCCATCTGAGGAGCAGGTACCCTTACCGCAATTTTGTCAGCTTCATCCTTTCTATATAACCAAAAGTACAAGAAACCATTAATACATGATGAAGATGCCACAGATTTAGAGTATTTTTACACTAGAGGAGTTTGACATGCATCAATTATATGGGTTTATACTTACTAAAAATTTAACATGAAATGAAAAGAGAAATGCTAGATGTGCAACATACGTGGATGAAGGCAATTAGTGTGTATTTCCATAAGAAAAATGAAACAAAAAGAGAAATGCTAGATGTGCTACATATGTGGATGAAGGCAATTAGTGCGTATTTTGGAACTACTTTCTCTGGAAACTTAAGCCGTTAGCAATGAGACAAATTAATTCATTTTAATTATGTTTCGAACTGTCTCTTCACGTTGATGAGTGTGTTTAATTTATTCTTTATCAAAGACATAAAATGGACACTATTTTCACGAAAAAAGGGGAAGGCGAGACTTGAATTGCACACTTTTGTCTATCATGATACCATGCTGCAAGTGTGTCCATGTGAGATAAATCCAGTGTGATTGATATTTTTCCAGTAAATGCACCTATTCTTGCATGAACTTTCAAGAACTTCTTGAATTGGAACCTGAGGGAGAAGTTCTTTGATTCTTCCCCTTTAATTCCCATGTTATTTCTTGAACAAAACATCACTCTCTTCCAGGAAAAATTGAGAGCAGAGAAGGATAAAAACAAAACAAAGCACAATGTGTCCCTCTGAGGGTACTCTTGCATAAGAAAACAGTCGTGCACATTATCAAGGAATGAAGTTTCTTACCTTCTTCGTCTTTTAGAAGATGCAGTCCACGGGCTGGGATTCGATGCATCCATTGGCTTAATCTCTGGCCACATATCGCCCCTCCACCCATCTGCACCACCTTCCACATCCCTTCCACCAGCCATTTGATGTCCGACGAGTTCCAAACGGTACGCGTCGTGGTAAGCGCTGCTGCTACTGTGGCCTAAAATAGCTTGAGGATTAAGCAAATCCATTGCCCGATTATCAGTACTTGTGCCGGCACCACTTCTTAACCATTCCTGAGTTCTTATGTCGAATTGCCGATGAACAACTTCACGGGATAATCTATCTTTCACGCGACTAAACGCCCCAATGATCTCATCACATGATCTTAGAAAAAAATCAGGTTCGTTAGCCAAATTTAGCAGGTTTTCTTCTAGGACTTCAGCCAACTTACACCCATGTAAAATCAAACCTCTGGTTTCCTCCATTTTTTCTTTCTTGGGCTAATTTGCGTTTGGACAATTGTACATTATAAGCTCATTTAAAGGAGTAATAAAAAATTATTTAAGAACACTATGTTTCTGTGTTGGTGCCTTCGGGAAAAATGCACTAAAGTATTCAAAGTATTTTGCATATTTTGAACACGCCGAGTAGAAGAAACCTTAGGAAATCATGACCAGGTCACTGGTCTATTTCCTAGCAATTTTTCATGTTCTCACCCACAAGAAGTCCACGAGAAGACTTGGCCTCATTGAACCAAAATGTAAGGATCCCATGAACAAATTCCTTAAGTTTGAAATTTTGACTGATTATATAATTAAAATGGGTGAAAATTAAAATATTATTATATATTATGGGTGTCTTCAACTGAGATTTTGATAGATTTTAAAAATTCTTCTTAATTTAGATGTCTCCAATTGAAATTTTACTGAATTTTAATGAAATTCACTAAAATCTACATGTCTACAACTGAGACTTTAATGAAATCTATTAAAACTTGGGTGTCTTCGATAACTAATAAATTTATATAGATTTCATTAATAAAGGGATTTTAAAACACTTTGATAAATTTCAAGTTTAAAAATTCTTTTTAAATTTCACCATTTTTAATGAAATTCTCATGGATTTTGTTAAAATCTATTAAATTCACAAAATTCATTAGAATTTATAATTTTTTCAAAATTCATCAAATCTCATTGAGGCCACCAAAAAAGATTAATCAAATAGGGATTAAGATAAATAATCTGGTAATTAATTAGAGATTATCTGGTTTGGGTTTGAAAACTTGACTTCTAAAGTTAAGACCATCTGGAACTGGAAAACTTTTTGTTTTGGGAGAAGTCAGATTCTTTGGATATTAGGACTATAGTTTCTTTGAAGCTTGCCCATGACAAATGATTTTGTTCTTTGGTAAATTTAATGATACCTTGGAACTTTCCTCCTGTTCCTAGCTTGTTGGGAAAATTGCAACAACGATTCTCAACCTTTTAACGAATTAAGTCTATGTCCTCGTATTCTTTCCCTCCACCACCGCCGTATTTTAAACCTTGTTACGTCATCTAGATTTTTCCTACGAAGTTGTTTTTATATCATTTCAACAAATTTTTTGACATAAAACTGTTATCAAATACAAAATGTGTTAATTAATGGAAAGTTTGAGGATAAAAATGATATGAAAAATCGTTAGGAATATAAGTGCTTTAACAAACAAAGATTAAGAACCTTAAGTGCTATTAAAATATGGTACACGAAATAAAAATTGTGATGTGAATATTATTACGTTAGTAAGGGTTCACATGCACTAAAGATGAAAAGTTAGAGATCTAAATGTTAGAAGAATATACTTGGGGATCTAAGTACTTAATTAGTCAAATGTTAAGAACATCAGCCATAATTTTTTCATTTTTGTTCGCCTTTTTTTCCGATTAATTGGACTGAGGATAAATTCGAAGGAATAGGTTTCTTTTCTTTTCTTTTTTTTGCCCCCTTGCAGCATCTACTTCCAAGGAATAGTAGGGATTTGTCCAAATTGAGTCTAGGCTGAATTTATACAAAGTTAGTAGAGGATCATTCAAATATTTTCTCCAATGGTTAAAAAAATATTTGGACTTCAAGAGCCTACAATTCACACACGATGTTGTTTATGTTCATGAACATTTTCTTTCAAGTGTCATGCAGTCGAGCATAAGTAAATCCTTTGCCGAAGTAGGTCGCCTGGCTATAATTTTCAATAGTACACTCCACTTTCATTATGTCCGTGGCTGCGTGACCTTATGATTGAATTAGTGAAATCAGTTTCAAAATTGGGGTTTTGCTCCCTTTGTGGAGGCTAGCACTTTTCTTCTTCATTATGACAAAAACATCTCCATAACAAGTTCTTGGGTGTTGCATTAGAAAATTCCAAAAAAAAGAAAAAAAACCTTATATATTCTTACATTTGAATATTTATTTGGTTCTGAATCACTAAGAAAAATGATGAATTCTCGAGTGAAAATTTATAAAATAAGTACAATGAAAATAGGATATCAATCATGTGTTGGAATTTTAGGAAAATATAAAGATTAAAATGTGGGAATTGAAAAAGTTTCCAATATGTGCATCGATTGGGCACAACTCTTCAAATGCAAATGGTGCATATCAAAGAGTTGTTTTGAATGTGTCACCTTTTAGCTCCTGTTTGGACGACATTCTTCGAAAATAAAAATTAATAATTCAACCGTTATACAGTGAGCGGCCCCACTTTGGCAGCCATGTTTGACTGTGTTATCTGCAGTCAATTAAAAAAATTTAGGGTGCGTTTGATTGCAAGAGTGGAAAATTGGTGGAAAGAAAATGATTTCTAGGGAAAATAAGGCACTGTTCTCTTTATCTTTTTAAACCGTTTTCTATTTTCAATTTTCCAAAACAGTGAAAACGCGTTCTCTTACCTATTTTCGAAAACGTATTTTAGAAAATGGAAAAAAAATGAACTAAAAACAGAAAATGGGCAAATCCACGTTTTGGAAAATCTACGCACAAAACCTTGTTTAATTCCAAAACACGGGAAACGGTATTTCCTCTCAATACGTCGTTTGGACAGTATAAATAGTCTTCATTTGTATAGATTGGAGGACGGTTGGATCTTGGTAATCAAAAAGATGGTACCACGTGGATCTGATCTGACGATCAATACGTCGTTTGGACAGTATAAATAGTCTTCATTTGTATAGATTGTGGGGGTGGTTTGATCTTGGTAATCAAACAATTAAACACAAAATACCTTCATTCTCGTGAAAGGCAGATATTGAAGAAGATTCACATATTTTGCAAACACCATAGCAAACATATCAAGATTCCAACATAAAACATCATTCGACCTTATCTATCTTTCCACATATTCCATAACAAAACAGACACTCATTTAAAGAAAGTCAATCCGGCCCTTGTTGATAATGCAAGGCTTGCCTAAAGAAAATTGCCGGAGCTTGAATAGTTGTGTCTCTTGCCGGAAAGCAACTCCCGCACCCTTTCCAACTACGCTACCGCTCTTGTTCCGGTAGGAACGTGCCAGATTATTGCTTGACGTGGCAAGAGTGGGCCCGGCGTCTATTGACAAAAATTTTTGGGGTGAACAGATTGGCGCCGTCTGTGGGAATATTGCCTACAGTTAACTACGAATACACGTGAGAAAAGGACCAGACTACGTTGCTGAGAAGATCGACAGAAGGGAGTCGCTTATTAAGATAACCAAGAAATGAGCTCCACTGAAGAAAATGCTCCTAGACGAGCGAGGGAACATCCTGAAGAAGGGAAACCCTTGCCTACCACACAAGCAGTCCACCCAAGACCTCCAACACGAAAGAAAAGAGGTACGAGGGGTAGAGGAGAAGCAACAGCCAGATTAACTAAGGAGATAGCGACAATGGCTGCCAATATAAGGAACATCACTCAGCAGAACCTCGCCATGCAAGAAATGTTAATGAGCATGCAAGGGCAAGGAGGATATCAGACCCATCAATACACAGCCCCGGAAGACACCTTTCCTGAGACACGGGGGCACTATCAAGAGGAAGAAGTACAAAGTCCAATGGCTGAACCTACGTACGCTGGGATGGAGGAAGATGCCAAAATGGACGCCTCGGCAAATCACGCTACCAGTGGACCATATGAGGTTCCGTTCTACCGCCCTCCAAACCATGTGGATCGACCCCAGAGGTCCAGAAGTGTTTTCGATAGGATAAGCTCAGAGGTGTCTAGAGATAGGCGAGATTATTCACCCCAAGCACCTAGAAATAGGCAAGCTTATCCTCCTCCACCAATCAGAGAGAGGCAGCAAAAGCCTCGCCATCCTGAGGATATGACATCATAGCATGAAGAGCATCCTAATCTGAGAGAGCCGTTATCCCAACCCCCTAAAAATACGCGGGAAAGGAAAAATCAAGCCAGAAGTGAGGCAGGAACATCCCAACCACTCCCTCGGGTACCTCAAAAGGATGATGGAGATTTAGATGGTCCGCAAAGGTCTTGTGACTTAGATGATGACGACAACCAATCTCCCTTCTCGGAAGCCATAAGAAGTGCCCCCATGTTGAACCACTTCTCGCTTCCCAAAATCCCAAAGTACGATGGGAGAGGGGATCCTGCAAAACACATGAACAACTACAAGACCTACATGAATTTGAAGGGAGCCACTCCAGCGACAAAGTGTAGGGCCTTTCACCTAACGCTAAGTGGGGGCGCCGAAGTCGGGTACACAAGACTACCTGAA